GATGTGTGGCCCTGTCCCATTGATGGCTCACGGCCGGCTCTGTCCCCAGGGCCAGGCAGAGCTGCTGACGGCGCTGCTGCACGGTGGCGCTGACATCCAGCAGGTTGGCTACGGGGCTCTGACCGCCCTGCACGTCGCCTCCATGGCCGGCCACCAGCAGGTACGTGTGGCTGCGGGGGGCGCAGGGGTGAGTGCTCTGCTCGGATCTGATCTGATCTCCTTCCAAACAGCCTTAGAACTGGCTGTGGACAGCTGGATTTTATTTCATTTTTTTCTGCATTTCGGGAAGATCACATCTGTGCATGTATTTTTACACTGGACAAACATGCACAGAGGACACAGATCAAAGGTTGGGTTTGATAGATCTTGGAGATCTTTCCCAGCCTTGGTGATTGTTTGATTCCCGTGGTTCTGTGCAGAATGATGGTGGAGCTGTTAACCTGAGCCCTGACTGGGATGCTCTCATTCTCAGGCATTTAATGTCTCCTCTGTGCACAGTGCAAAGAGGTTTTCTCTGAGCACTCTGGGGCTCCAGGTGATTTCTAAAACATCTGGGCCTTTTGCTAAATGCCAAAGGCAGACCTGCTACTGCTCCCACTATTATAATATCTAATTATAATTACAATATTGCTATTGAGCTCCTGCTGGGGCTATGGGAGGTTAGGGTGCTCACAGCCCAACAAGGATGGGTCTGTTAACTCCATAAGAAATGAACTGCTGGTAGTTCTTATTTCTTCCCTGGGAGAAGGATCAGCTCTGTATCACAAGCATCTCCATCAATGGAGTGGGAGTCTATATAACTCACTTGATTCTGCTGCTGCTCTGGGAACCAAGGAATTTTAGTCCAAGGATTTATTTGCTTTCCTTCTTTACATAGCTGTGAAATTTTCAGTCAGCTTTGAAGTTCCTCTGCAAGACAAAGTAGCTTGTTTTGTCCACAATTTCATGAATATTCATGGAAACATGGAATAATTTTTTCAATCTCCCCTTATAAGGATGAGGTTTTTATCCTTTGCTCTTTTCCAAAACACAAAGTCCTTATATCTGTCTCATAGGGTTTTTTTGTTGTCTCCTTCTAACCTTCAGAGTGGCTTATTTAATTGTTTTTGAAGTGAACATCGTTGACTTGAGTGTTCAAAACACTTCTGAATAAACCTTTTGTAAGATAATTTTAGGAAAAATTCCTAAGTGAGGCTGTTGTACAAGTTGTTAAAGTGTTGTTTTGCAATGCCATTTGGCTGTACAAGGAGAAGGGAAGAATTAGCTCCAGGCTGTGCTGGTGTGAGCCCCACGGGGATGCTGCTGCTGCCTTTCACCAGCCCAAATTTCACCAGCCCAGATTTGACCAGCCCACCTTTGACCAACCCAAATTTGACCAGCCCAGATCTGACCAGCTGCTTTCCCTGCAGCTCAGGAATGTCCCCTTCACCTTCACTCACTGCCTGTCTCCTGAGGATAAAACTCTTTTTTTTCCCTCCTTATTTCTGAAGTATTTCTATCCTTGCACATCCCTCCAGCACAGCCTCCTACTTGTGATGCCTATGACAGTTTCCAGTGCTTTCTAACACTCCTTTTTTCTTTCCTAGAAAGATATCTTGTCTGAGAGACTATCAAGGCTGTCTCTGTACCCCTGTCATCATTTACACTTGAGTGGAGTTTGCTTAGTGCAGCACACAAAATTCTATTTATCAGGAGATCACAAGGCAGCAGGAACTGCTGCCATTGCTCCAGCCTGGAAAATGTGTCAAAACCCATCTGGTGTAATGCTCATCATCAGGGATGCAGCCACATCACTCAACACAGATTTTTCACCTTGAAGCTCCACCTCGAAAGCTTCTAGATGAATCTAAATTTTGGATAAGCTGTGCAGAAAGGCATTTCCTGAGAGTTCACAGCGTTCCAGAAATACATGGGCATCCTGAAGGGCCAAAAGAAATAGAAATTTGAAAGAAAACACTCAGGGTTATTTATTGAAGCTAAAGAGCTCTTATCTTCTAACATACAAAGGAATTTTCCATGTTGGAGGATTTACCTTCACACATTTAAATTTAAAAGGGTCTTTCATTTTGTGTGACTTTTTCACTTCTGAAAACTCTGATATGTTTACAGCTCTTTGTTCACAATGGCTAAAAGAAAATTAAAGGTTGTTCTGAGAATCCAGACAGCCATTGCTGTGCCTCTTACTTCACAAATCAGGGTTTTTTTAGTGGCACACCGATTTTCAGGCTCATTTACAAAGCATCACTGACATTCAGTGTTCAGTTCAAGTACTGTAAGTACTGTAAGCCAATCACTTTTACATGCTGTACTCAGCTCTGCACATTTATAACTCGTTTGTTTGGGACTGTTTGACTTTTTTTAAACTGGAGGCATGAGGTTTCAAGGTCCTGTTTCACCAACTGAGCACATATATACATACACACAAATATATGTATACACCCAGGGTTTCTGAGATTTTGTGCTGTTGGTTCCTTTCAGGCTGTGGATATCCTGCTGCAGCACGGGGTCTATATGAATGTGATATACCCACTGTATATTGAATTTTTGTGCTGTTGGTTCCTTTCAGGCTGTGGATATCCTGCTGCAGCACAGGGTCTATATGAATGTGATATACCCACTGTATATTGAATTTTTGTGCTGTTGGTTCCTTTCAGGCTGTGGATATCCTGCTGCAGCACGGGGTCTATGTGATATACCCAATGTACATTGAATTTTTGTGCTGTTGGTTCCTTTCAGGCTGTGGATATCCTGCTGCAGCACGGGGCCTTTGTGAACGTGCAGGATGCTGTGTTCTTCACCCCCCTGCACATCGCTGCCTACTGTGGCCACGAGCAGGTAGAGGGGCAGGCCCAGCCCTGCCTTGGGGCTGTTCCTTCCTTGCACTGACTGGTCACTCAGGCCTGGTGTCCATCCACCACACTGAACGTTTTTCAGAATAAATGTGCACTTGCTTTTGAGAATTGTAATATTTTTATAGATGTGGAACTTAAAAATGAGTTTTCTATTGGATCCCTTCTCCCTGTTTTAACTTTACAGAGATGTTCCCATATAGTATTACCCAATGCAATAATGTATCTGGTTTTCTCCAAGTTTTATTTGCATGAGGTGTTTTAATTACCCCGATGGAATATTCAGGTAACGCAGCTGCTGCTGAAGTTTGGAGCTGATGTGAATGCGAGTGGTGAAGTTGGGGACAGGCCTCTCCATCTGGCTGCTGCCAAAGGCTTCCTCAACATCACAAAGCTTTTGGTGCAGGAGGGGAGCAAAGCTGATGGTAAGAAAAGAGATTTAAAAATCATCTTTAACACCGTGTTTTCTAGCTTAGCTTCCTGACACATTCTCTTTGTACCTGTGTCCGTGTGTCATCTGAAACTGAAACAACAAAACAGCAGCTGGAGAGTTTGCCTTGGTTCAGTGTGCTGGTTTGTCATCTCACGTTTACTCTGCTTTCAGCAATAAGTTAGAGGTGAAAAGCAGGGCCAGAAAACAGAATACAGATTAATATAGAGAGGTGGCTCATTTTTGAGACATTGATCCAGGAGGGAGCACGGGGCCATGCAGGGGGGAGCTGCAGTCAGAGGGACTCAGATGCACAGAGAACTTGTGAATGAGGTACAGGAAAAGGGGTCTAACTCAAAATTATGCAGCAAGTAATTTAAAATAATTCATATGGAAGTCAAAATTCCACAGAAAAGGGGATTTTTGAGCACATGATTTATTGTGCTCCACAAGCTTCCCACTCCTCCCCGTGGGCCATTTTCTGTCTGAGGGGCCAGTGTGAGGGCTGGGTGGGCTGGGCAGGTACAAAATGTCCCAGCACACTTCGGGCATCGTGTGAGTTCTTTGTCCAGGTGGCCTCACAGTGATGTCACTCAGGCTGGGACACTGCACTTCAATGCTTATATTCTGCATGAATATAATATTTAAAATATTTTCTCCTGTGACTGATGCCAGTGTGCAGCTGGTGGTTCTGCTGGGTTCTTCCTCTTGCTGTGTTCCCTCTCCTTTTGCTGTTTCAGGAGTGCTGAAGGCACAGAACGTGCCTTTCTGCTCCCCTGCTGGTCACCTGTGCCACAGGTGTGCCCCTGCATGCTGTGCACATCCCACAAAGGCACAATGGGCAATGTTGGGACTCAAGGCCACACTTCAGGCATGTGGTGGTGATCAGGGCAGAGATTCCCACCTGTACCTGGAGGGAGCCTTTAGGGAAGCTGGAGAGAGATTATTTACAGGGGCTGGAGTGCTGGGACAGGAGCATGACACAGGACACACGGACAGAGGACAGGCTTAGATTAAACACAGGAAAAATCCTTCCCTGGAGGGTGGGCAGGGCTGGCACAGGGCACAGAGCAGCTCTGTCTGTCCCTGGATCCCTGGCAGTGCCCCAGGCCAGGCTGAACACTGGGACACCCTGGGACAGTGGGAGGTGTCCCTGCCCACAGGAAAGGACCTTAAAGATCAGGATCCCCTCCAACCCAGGCCATTCTGTGATTCTGTGAAATACTGAGCAGGTTTCAAATTATTTAAAAATTATCTTCTTATTCTCAGAGTAAGAGACAGAAATGTTTTTTGGAAGTAGCAGTACACTGCTTGGAAAGGTGCTGGTCTTTAATACAGTAATTCACTGTGCTCTCTGTGAGTCCTGCCTGCAATCCCACACCCTCTCATGCAGCAGAAAAGCTCGGAGGGAGGCAGCACAGGCAGGACTGTGGGTGCTGTTTGCAGCAGGGAGCTCGGGGTGTTCCAGCCTCCATGTGTGTGCACCGAGCTGATATCATTATAATAAAGGGGGGAAAAGAGACATTCTCTCTTCATGACAAGGCAGTGGGAGGTTTGCTCTCTGTTAGAGAGTTTATTCCAAAAGGAAAGAATCTGGGGCACCATTTCAGGTCCTTTCCTTTAAACTCAGAATCTTCAGCACAGAAAAAAAGAAAAGTGGACGGGAAGCAGGAAGCCTTTTGCTCTTAAAGTAGCACGCTTTGAAACTTGCTGTAAATGCAGCAGCAGAGGGAAAAGCCTTTATTGCCCAGGGATGAAAGGAGCTGGGGAAAGGACCTGAATAAATTTGGCACTGTTCAGTGCAGAGCAGTAATTGGGGTCACACACTTGAACTGTTTCTTTTAACACACCGTGGCTGGCTAGCCAGCCCAGGGCTGCCCGTGCCATGAGCAGGACGAGGCTCCTGGCATGGATGACTCCATGGCAGCTGGCAGTGCCCAACATTCCCATCTGCAGACCAGGGATCCCCCAGGGACACTCCCTGCAACTGCCCTTGCAATATTTTGCTGCTGCTGGCACATGCCAGCAGTTCTGTTAGTGTTCTTATTATCTTACTTCTGTTCAAAATTGCTTTTTCCGAGGGTTATTTATAACTCATGATTCATTCATAGAAAGCTTTGTCAAAAGACTCAGTAAGTTTGGAGCTGGAAGAAAGCAGTCGTGCCCCAAGTTCAGGAAATCACCTCGGCAGTGCTCTGCAGATGGCACAGAGCAATGTGGGCTTGATCACAGGGCGTGGGTGACAAAAATCACAGAAATTTCAATTTCAAACAAATACATCCTCAAATGTTTTTCCAGGAGGTTTCAAAATGCACAGACACAACACATAAACTCTACTAAATATCTGAAACAGTGCCAGACACACTGTGCTAAGGATAAAATCCTTTCTGTGTTTTTTTTTTTCTGGGTGAACCCACAGTGAATGCTCAGGACAATGAAGACCACGTTCCTCTGCACTTCTGCTCTCGGTTTGGGCACCACGACATTGTGAAATTCCTACTGCAGAGCAGCTTCGAGGTGCAGCCCCACGTGGTGAACATCTATGGAGACACACCTCTGCACCTGTGAGTGCCCCCGAGCAGCGCTGGGCACGGCTGGGGCTCCTGGGCTGCCTCTGCTGACACCTCTGCTCTGCTTTCTCTCAGGGCCTGCTACAATGGGAAGTTTGAGGTTGTCAAGGAAATAATTCAGCACTCGGGAACAGAAAGTCTCACTAAAGAGAATATATTCAGTGAAACAGCTTTCCACAGGTGAGGTGGAAAATGAATAATGCCATTATCAGTAGAGCTCCCCTTACCCACACACAGCTCCCAAAATTACAAATTGGAGTTTGTGATCTCCTCACCAGCAGCCAGGGCAGGGACAGAGCCACACAGGGAGGGTGAGGTTGTGTCATGAGACACATCCAGGGCACCAAGGAAGGGGCAGAACCAGGCAGGGAAATCTCAGCCGGGGACCCTGAGTGAGGAACCAGGGCCACAGCAGGGCCTGGCTGAATGCTGCAGTTTTGTAAAGGGCCATTTAAGAGGCACTTTGCAACACAGATTGCACAGCTGTGCAAAACTAAGTGATTCAGAAATAATTACAATGGTTCTGAAACAAAAAAAAAAAATGAACACACTCTGGTGGATTAATCATGCATTTGCACAGTTCTAATGATCCTTTATTACTACATTTTTATCTCGCTGTAATTCTTTGTAAATTTTTGGCTACTCAAAGCACTTCTTTTATGGACTATAGCACTCACCTTTGCTTCTGCAGTGCTTGCACCTATGGGAAGAACATAGAACTTGTCAAGTTCCTCCTTGACCAGAATGTTGTAAGCATCAATCATCAGGGGAGAGATGGGCACACAGGTAACATCACCGTGCTTACTGTGTGTGAGGGTGTACAGCAGCACCAAAATATTGGGAAGCCATACACCATCAGGATTGCCAGGGAATTCCAGCACCTCAGTGCCTTCCAGACAGAGGACAAAATATTCTTAAAATATTTTTACAGGAGGCATAGAAGTGATAAAACTTCAGTGAGGATGTATCAGGCTCAACAGGGTGTGTATGAGTAACCAAACCTGGTGTAAACTGTTCCTCCCATCCTGAGCCTTCTAAGTGGTGTTAGAAATTATTCTGCAAAGAGAGGGGCTTCTGGAACGTGGTGTGTGAAGGGCTGCACACCTTCCCGTCCCCACTACACAGAGCTGCCTCTGCTTCCACTTGCTTTTCCTCACATGCACAATCGTTGAACGTGGTTTGCAGGTGGCAGAGTAAAGGGTGGCACATTGTGCAGGGGCAATAGATCGGTTCCTGCAGCCTTAACGTTTCATTTTCACCTCTTGCCTCGGGGGCGTTTTCTTGACGACATATTTATTTATGGAGGAGATGAGTTTGCCCCTGGGGCTGTTGCTGCAGTGCTGCCATGCTCTGACACTCCACTCTCCTCGGGTGTTCCAGGCTTGCACTGTGCCTGCTACCACGGCCACATTCGCCTCGTGCAGTTCCTGCTGGACAACGGCGCTGACATGAACCTCGTGGCTTGTGATCCCAGCAGGTCCAGCGGAGAAAAGGATGAGCAGACCTGTTTGATGTGGGCTTATGAGAAAGGTATTTCATTTTTCTAGCTGCTGCTACAAAGCCCACAGGGGCTGTGCAGGAAGGGGAGGGCAGCATGGGAAGGAGACAATTCTGCCAAACAACCAGGCCAGTGCCTGCAGAGAGAGCTCCCAGGGAAAGGCATAAAGGGTTACAGACCCCAGCCCTGGCTCTCAGATCTGTTAAACTCGACTTTAATCCAGCACAAACGCAAGGAGTGTTTCTGTGCTGCTGAGACAGGAGACACAGCCTGTGCAGCCAGGGCTGCTCCTCCTCTGCCATGCACGAATTCTCATTTCACTGCTGAAATCGTGAGGAGTGAGGAATCTGTCAGTAATCCTGAATTCTTGCAAACATGGGGCAAAGTGAGGCATCTTCCGTGGTTCCTGTTGCACTGTCCTGCATGTACAGCCAGGTGCAGCTCCCATTAAGAGTCACAGCAGTTTTAGATTGGCATCACCATGTCTTTGCATATTTTATAGGCATGTTTTATATTTTTTTAAATCCCCTGATTTTCTATTAATTAATTTTTTAAAAAATAATGTCCTTTGAGTTACCTGCAAATCCTTGTGTTTCCTCTTTCTTTCCTAGGCCATGATGCAATTGTGACCCTCCTGAAGCATTACAAGAGACCTCAGGATGAATCCCCCTGCAATGAATATTCCCAGCCTGGAGGAGGTATGAGCTGAGCAATCATTTTATTCAAAGGCTCTGATCCAAAGGCTGCTCAAATCTCTGGAAGTGCTCCACTCATGTCAGAGAGCTTTGGGTCAGTCCTGTCCAGCACAAATAAAATCATTGCCACAGGACTCACCATTTTCTGGCCATACACAAATTCCTTTAACCCTGGTCATGGCTCTCACCATTTTCTGGCCTTACACAAATTCCTTTTGAGGAATGGCTGCAGCCATGCAGCAGCCCAGGAAAATGAACTGTGCCCCAGCCCGAGGCAGCTCCCAGCAGATGTGTTGGTGTGTTTATCTGAATTCTCACCCTTTATTATTGACTCTTCCTGGCAGCATTGACTCATGGATTTATCAGCACCATCACTTACATTGTCACTGGACTTGATTTCACTCTGTTCTTTATTTCAGATGGTTCCTACGTGTCAGTGCCATCCCCTCTAGGGAAGATTAAAAGCATGACAAAAGGTATTTGCAATGGCAAGGCAAAATGTGAACTTTTGTGGTCCTTTTATGCAATGTGTTTGTCAGCCTGAACATCCTACAGAGGATTCATTATTCTGGACTTTTTATGGTACATTGTTCCATTTCCCTGGGATAATTTTAGGAAGCAATCTACTTGTTGCTCAGCATAATGACAATTCCTGTATTTGCCTTGTTTTCATTCACTTTTAAAAATATATATTTCTTTTTTATTTCCTGGAGAAAAGGCTGTGATGTGAAATAGCATTAATGAAATACCCACTTGTCCATGAAAGCAAATAAATATTATTTAATTACACAGTGAAATGCCTGAATTAACCTTATAAGGAAAATTCTGTCCAAAAATAATTTGTGTTACTCTGAAACTAATACGACTGAAACAGTCAGATAAATATTTTAAGGTATTTTAAGATATTTCCTCTTTTTTTTTTTTTTTTGGTACTTTCAATTTCCCACTTTAAATGTTCACTCTGTATATAATCAAATCCTTACATCCTTTACACAGCAGCATCAAAATTCTCTGTTTAGAAGTATTCTGATAAACTTTATAGTAATAAACTAAAAAGCTCAACAAGACGGAGACGTTTGACAACAAAATTCAGTTGCAGAGTTTAGATTCCACGTGTCCCCAAGAGCCAGGGCTGTGGAGCAGCATCCCCCGCAGGGAGCCCCGGCTGCTCAGAGAGAAGTGGATTGACCTGGAGGGAGCCCCGGCAGAGCCGGGAGCCCGGGCAGGGCTCAGGGTGTGAAGCCAGGGGTGCCCAGGGCAGAGTGTGGGGATGCGCCTGTCCCTGGCAGCTGAGCAGTGAAATTCAGCTTCCCCAGGGACGGCTCCTGGGCTTCGGGGCTTTTGTGCTGGCTCCCGCCCGCCCGTGCTTCCAGGGGATTTCTCTTGCAGAAAAGGCTGATGTCCTCCTCCTCCGGGCTGGTTTGCCGTCACACTTCCACCTCCAGCTCTCTGAGATCGAGTTCCACGAGATTATCGGATCAGGTACCAGAACTGAAGGGGCACTCACCTGCAATGTTTGATGTTCGTAACAAACACATTTGAGTTATTTATTTTAAACCGTTTTAGGGTCCTTTGGAAAAGTCTATAAGGGCCGATGCAGAAATAAAATCGTTGCCATCAAACGGTAAGTTTGCTGCTGGTGGGTGAGCGGGTTTGGAGCGTTCACCAAGCCCGTATTTTGTGATGCCTTTTCCTCCTGCCGGCTGTGCTGTGAACCCCCAGTTACCGAGCCAGCACCTACTGCTCCAAGTCGGACGTGGACATGTTCTGCCGCGAGGTTTCCATCCTGTGCCGCCTGAACCACCCCTGTGTCATCCAGTTCGTGGGAGCCTGCCTGGATGACCCCAGCCAGTTTGCCATTGTCACCCAGTACATCTCCGGGGGATCCCTCTTCTCCCTGCTGCACGAGCAGAAGAGGTACTGCCCTCCCCACCAGCCACACTGCTGGGAAGAGCAGGGGATCTGTGGAGGTGTCAAAATTCATTTCAGAGAAAGGAAAACTAGAAAATACTGAGCTTTGGTTCCGTTTATTGGGTGTGCAAGGTAAACTGGTAAGTGATCATATCACAGTATATGGATTTTACATCATTACAGTACATAGATTCACCTTACATAGATTATGTAACATTGTTTTTGTACGTAAAACCATTTTAAACGTTCCATGATTTACAGGTAAGAATAATTTTCAACTGTCTATTAACTTCAAGTAATCTTTTCTTTTTTTGCAAAATACAGAATTCTTGATCTGCATTCTAAATTAATCATTGCTGTAGATGTGGCCAAGGGCATGGAGTACCTCCACAATCTCACACAGCCCATCATACATCGGGATTTGAACAGGTCAGTTTCTGTCTTCAACCTAAAAATTTGGGCAACATGGAAGCTCAGAGCCACAGGGACACCCCTGCAACCCCAGTGCCTCATTAGCACTCAATTGAGAATAATCCCAGAGGTTTTATACAAACCCCAACAAGTCACAATTGCTGAACTGTGATTGTCCTTGAAGGCTGCAGGCACTGGCAGTGTTTTCCTGCACCTGTTTGTTTTTCTGAACCTCTGTTTTCTGTTGCCCAGTTTGAGCCTGAGCCCTGCAGTCAAAGGGCACTTGGTCACATTTCCTCATCACTTCATCTCTGTCCCTTTGCTTTGTCTCTTTTACTGTAACTATTTCCCCACAGGCACTGAATTCACATGTTTTTCACTTTGCCTGGCTCCTTTGTTACAGCAAGCAGCAGCTCTGACTGCTCCCCTCTGGGAGCTGAGATCTTGCTCAGGACTGGGCACTCATCTCCTGGGTGGTGTCCCAGTGGGAGCACCGAGCCCTTGGTGTCTGCAGGAACAGCCTGTTCTTTCTCTCCAGCTGTGGAAACATCTTGTGTGAGCTTCAGCAGCAGGGGACGAAGCACCTGCGCTCCCTGCCTGCAAGAGTGGAAATGTTCCTTTTGTAAAGGCTTGGTCCTCAGCTCTGCCAGCCCTCGGGAGCAGCAGGCAGGCTGGAATGGCATCCCCAGCATCCTTTGATACCTTCACATCCCTGCCAGGCCACAGGGGACAGCTCTGTGTCCCTTGTTCCAAGGGACAGCCTTGACTCCGAGCCAAGAGCCCCGTGCCCAACTCTGCAGCCCCTGGC